TCACAGATTGAATCTGTACCGGTCCAGGAGAGCCTGATGGTTTGCCACTCATAACCGGAAGCTCGAAGATGAATACACTTTCCTTCCAAAAGAGTCCAGTCTCCGAGAGTCTTTGTTCTTTGGGGTCGGGGCTGGCTGACCCTGCCGTTCCCTGTGGTTGACTGACTCGACCACCAAGGAGTTGGGCGCCAGCTGGGTATACAAGTACTCATGTCCCTTAGCGGGTACAAAGTACTTGTGTTCTGCCTTTTTAGAGATGGGGACCAATGAGGCTGGTGTTTGCCACAGGGCATTTGAAATCTTTGCCACCCCCTCAGGGAGAGGCAAGGCCACCCTGCCCAGTGCAGAAGGGGATAACACGTTAACCAGGCAGTCTGAGGGCTCCTCCATCTCTTCTGCCTGGAGGTGGAGGCTTGCTGCCACCCTCTCTAAGAGTTCTTGGTGGGCCCTGAAGTCCTCCTGCGGGACGGAGGGGGGCAGGGCTGCAATTGCCTCCTCCGGGCTGGGCAAAGAGGCCGGTGTGGTGCTCTGGGTGTCGGTGAGCACCATCTAGTCGGACTTCAGGCACAGTGCCGAGGACACACGTCCCACTGCCTCCTTTCTTGGGGGTCTGGAGAGGGAGGCCGATGGTGCCTCCAAAGCTCCGGCCACCGAGTGAGCACCCACCGGGGGCTGCGCCAGAGACCACAGTGCCCACTGGTACCATTGGGCCGGCCACGATGCTCGGTGCCACAGCACTTGCTGTGGCACCGGCGGGGCCGGCTGTTCGGGTTGGCTGGCCTGGGCCATCGAAGGACGGCTATGAATGGAGACCGGGCTGGTGTAAGATCTGCTGTTGTCTCTGGACTGGGAGGAGTGGCAGTGCCGGGATATACGACGGCCATGGGACCGTGATCTCGATGTGGAGGACCGGTACCGGCGGTAACAGCTGCTCCGAGAACGGCCTCGACGGGCAGACCCGCGACGGTGAAATGCCGGCGATCGACACCCGGGGCTGCGATGTCCTGGTGGAGCCTTAGAGTGGGAGTCTGAGCGGGAACGGCATCGACAACTGTGCCATGATCGACTGCGGTACCCTCTCTGAGACGAGGACCAATGGCGACGCCCGCTGCAGTCCCACTGATATTTGCTCCTTGAGGAGGAGTGGTGCCGCGAGTCCCAGATGGACGGAACCCAGGCAGACAGTCTGGTCGGCGTCAAGGGCGATCCACCTGGACTCTGCCCCAAGCAATCACTGGGCGGTGATCGGCGCTGGGAACGTTCCCTCGACCGAGACCGGTACCGGGCCAGAGGCGACTGCAGAGATCCCAGCGGCGGCTTGCCTCTGGAGTGTGGGGCCGACATTGGTGTGCTCCGAGCACCAGCATGGACATAACGTCCCAGGCTGCCTGGAGGGCTTCAGGAGTGGATGGCATCCGGACATCCGGAGAGGCCTGTTCTGAATGGGCCAGGCTACTCCGCTCAATGTGAGTTGGAGGCCTGGGGCCCGGTGGGGATTGAGGACTGCCTGACATGGGCCTAGCCTCTGTCCCAGACTTCCCTCGGTGCCGCTGCGAAGAGGTTGTATTCCTGGCCCTCTTGGTGTGCCCTGTGGACGGGGAGCGGTGCCGACGAGTCGATGGCACCAGAAGGTTGCTGCGTACTGATGCTGCGGTGCTGGGTACCGGTTCGGAGCGGCGTGCCAGGGTCAGGGCCGACTCCATCAGGATGGCCTGGAGCCTAATGTCCCTTTCTCTTTTGGTCCAAGGCTTAAACGACTTGCAAATCTTGCACCTTTCGCTGATATGGGTTTCTCTCAAGCAGCACAAACAATCTGCGTGCAGGTCACTTCTTGGCATAGAACACCTACAAGAGCCACACGACTTAAACCCTGAGATGCGGGGCATACAGCTATTGCTAACCGACTAACTAAACTAACTAAAGAGCTAACTAACTACAGGTACTAACACTGAACGAACGAACAGCTCTGGGGATGAGCTACAGCCAAGCTGGAGCAGAGCAGTTCCGATGCACCTCCCCTGGCGGCAAGAAGGAACTGAGGGGGCGGGGGGCGCGCAGCTCCCCTTATACAGCGCCAGACAGGTGCCACTCTAGGGGTCGCAGGGGGCACTCCACCCTATGGGTACTGCTAGGGGAAAAACTTGCGGCCCTGGAGCACGCACACCTATTGCGGAATACACATGAGCAATCACTCGAAGAACTGAGCTCTCCAGATCCAGATCCAGTAAAGGGATTGTGTAAGCCAGGGGGCCAGTTTAGTCTCCATGGAGTAAACTGCTGCCACGATACCCCTGCAGCAATCACTTCAATTTAATGTTTTCTATATCTGCTGTTACTTCCTGTGACCTTAGTGGTTAGTTACTATTCAGGCTCCTAAAGGTTGTTTCTGCTAGGGGGAGAAACAGATGATCGAATCAGGCATTTCTTGATGCAATCATATTTATTTACAAGAATGTACAAAGGTTGTTTCTCTGAACACAGTAGGAATCATACAGCAGGAGACAGTTTATTTGTCCACAGCTCCAAGCCTCCTTCCAGGCAACACTGTACCCCAAAACTCACTCCCCTAGCTCAGGGTCCTGCTACAAGTACTTCTATGGCTGTCTCTGGGGCTTGCTTGCTGCTTCTCTGACAGCTTTTGTGGTGTTTCTGCTGCTTTTCTCCATATGCGCATAGCTTCCTCAAACAGTACACAGCCGCCCATGTCTCCATCCAACCCTGAGTCAAACCATGTTACCCACACATAGCTCAGACTCCTGAGCAGCCTTGCACACGGCCTGCGTTTTGGGCAGCAGCTCCTATTGTTTCAACCATCTATTCCATAAAGGAGCTTAAATGTTTTGTACATTTATTCTGAGTGAAGGGCAATGGTTATGCCCCCCACCTTCAAAAAGGTTTCACGCAGCATAACAATAAATCACACACAAATCTACACTAAAAGAACATATTCAGGTTGTGAGGCAAGCACTCAAAAGTTCGCAAATGCCACAATTAAGGTTGCTCGTGCAACGTTAATTCAGCTCCATTGTGCATATCCATTATGATCATCTTTAATTACATGAGCTCACATGCTGGTTTTGCCTCACTCAGAGCAGGGTGCTCACTTAATGAACAGCTAGTCAAGGTTTTGTTTTCTCCTCCTTGTTCAATGGGTGGCCACACCCTGCACTGAAGACAGAATTATTATTTTCTCAAGGGCTTTCTGATGGAGCTCATCGCTATAGTATCTGAGTGATTCACCAACATTCATCTTCACAACACCCCCATAAGAAGAGGGGATGGGATTATCCCCATTTGAAGGGATGGGCCGCTGAGGCAGAGAATGATTAAGGACAAAACTTCCCACTGATATGAGGCGCCAAATTTGAGACACTAAGGACCTGATTTGCAGAGTCCTTAGCATTTTATAACACTTTTTATGTTTACACCACAGCTCGCAGTGACTTCAGTCCCAGCTGTGAATGCTCCACATTTCTGCAAATCAGATCCCAGGGCGCCCAGAGAATAAGAAAACCCCACAGGGTCCCAGTTCCAATCTCCGTGTCCAGCCAATCCCAGCTCCCCCCTTCCCCTAGCTCCTTGTCTAACCTCAGTGTTCTCCTCCTCCCACACCAGCTGGCTCCCAGTCCCCCCTCCCACACCTGTTCCCCTCCCCAGCTCCCAGTCTCCTCCCCTCCAGCTTTCAGTATACTCGCTTTCCTTCCCCCCACCAATTCCCAATCCCAGCTTCCTTGTTCCACTCTACTTCGTTCCCTCTCCCCCACCAGTCTGGCTCTTATCCCCTCTGCATCTGAGGCAGGCGGCTTCCTCCTCCACACTGCCTGGGTGCTGGCAAGGGGGTCCTGAGAGTACAGGAGAGACTGGCTCCCTGCTCTCAGTTCCAGTGCCTAGGCCTTGGCCTATCTAGGAGGCGCAATTACATGGAAAGTCCAGCTTTGCCCCCTAGCCCTGGGTTAAGGCTGCTCAGTCACTCTGTGGGGATGGTGCATGCTCAGCCCGGTGACACAGAGGGGCAGGAATATGCTCAAGGAGGATGGTATCTTTGGAGATTTAAGCGGCTAAACTCTAGGAAACTTTGAACATGAGCAAACTGAGATTTTTTCCAAAGGCTTATTACTAGGCCAGATGAGGGCAGATTTTCACAGGAACACCAAAACACTCATCCCTGACACAAAGGCCATCCTCTGCCAAATTTTACATTCCTGCTCCAATGCATAGGTGCGCTACAGCCTCTCAATGAAATAGTCACCAACATTTCAACATTTTGCAAAACAATGTATTTGCCCCAGCCTCATTCACAGAAATGGCTGACCCATTTTGGCTGAAACTTTGCAAAACAAGTTTGCCTGGGGCCAGTATGGAAAATTTCAACCAAAATGGTTAAAGTTTGGCAAAGTTATAAGCAATGGAAAAATTATCTTATGAAGCAAAGTCTTAGGCAACCTTAATAATAGATGGTGCTACCAGTCCTGCCTCACTTTATAACAAAGGGGGGGGAGGGTGCATGCATGTGTGTGCACATTCACATGCAATTTGCTACGAAGAAAGCCTAACTGGCTTCACAAATAGGATACCAGGTCTCAGATCAAAGCCCTCTGGCGGCTGTGAGTAGCTATTAGTCTGTACCCATAATCTAGTAGCATAAGACTTGAAGACAAACTGGTATCATCCCTGAAATAAAAACCTGACCCAGCAATTCATCCTGCTGTCATGGTCTCTTGATATGGAGGCATGAATACATATTAAAGCTGCATAGAGCCAGTGCTGTTTGGATGTTGTCACTTTGCATATTCATCTCTAGGGAGCAGAAACTCACTCTTCCTAGTCATGAAAAATCAACTCATATTATGCAGCAACAGGCATCCCTTCCTTGCTGACCAAGCAAAGTCACACCAGCTCTGGATGATGACCAATCACTGTCCCTTGTTATGTCTGCCTTTGACGGAAGTCAGTGATCCACATAAGACTCACCCTGCACTTTTGTCAAGTCTGATATTTACCTTAGTCACTTCACGTTGATGTCCCACGAACCTCTTCAGCACTGCTCCCGATCTCCAGTTATACACGACTACAGTCTGAAGAGAGAAACATCTATGTGAATTCAGCCAGCACATCTGTGCGTGAGGACTGACATTACACAGACTTGTCTGCAAGGTGACAGAGTCTATGATTTTTACATATTTTTTTTCCAGACAAATAGCTTTTCCTGCTATAAAGGGGAGGGCACAGCAAGGGTGTGTACTGGGTGAAGAGCATCAGGAAAAAATAGTCCTCATTGTGTGAAAACCTACATGTCTATTGAAATAAAAGAAACATTTTCTAGATCAAAAAGCCATCCACACCCCATTTCTATCAGGTTGGACAATACAAACTATGTCAATAAAGGGAGCATAATTTGGACTCAGCAACAGGGAATAAAAACATTGCTTTGTAATATGTGCAGCCTGGGTATGAAAACATGTAGCACACGGGCCGCCACCACACAGTCCAAGCCTAAGTAGTCAGCTGGTCTTGTCCTGAGCACCAGCAGCACATTTAGACCCCCCCTTTCAGAAGCTCTTCCCTTGTAATATAAAAGAATGCATCACAGGTTGGCTGATGTGAAGGCCAGAAGGGAGAACTGTCTCACCTAGTCTGACCCCCTGTACATCACAATCCAGAGACTTCCACCCAGTTACTCCTGTGGTGGGCCCAACATCCCTTTGCTTGTTACAGTCTCTCTGGGCGGAGTAGCTTAGGTGCTGTTTGGAATACAGGACAGGGGCTTGCTCTTAAATGTATGGACCAAAATGTTCATAGAATCACAGAATCATAGAATATCAGGGTTGGAAGGGACCCCAGAAGGTCATCTAGTCCAACCCCCTGCTCGAAGCAGGACCAATTCCCAGTTAAATCATCCCAGCCAGGGCTTTGTCAAGCCTGACCTTAAAAACCTCGAAGGAAGGAGATTCTACCACCTCCCTAGGTAACGCATTCCACTGTTTCACCACCCTCTTAGTGAAAAAGTTTTTCCTAATATCCAATCTAAACCTCCCCCACTGCAACTTGAGACCATTACTCCTCGTTCTGTCATCTGATACCATTGAGAACAGTCTAGAGCCATCCTCTTTGGAACCCCCTTTCAGGTAGTTGAAAGCAGCTATCAAATCCCCCCTCATTCTGCTCTTCTGCAGGCTAAACAATCCCAGCTCCCTCAGCCTCTCCTCATAAGTCATGTGTTCTAGACCCCTAATCATTTTTGTTGCCCTTCACTGGACTCTCTCCAATTTATCCACATCCTTCTTGTAGCGTGGGGCCCAAAACTGGACACAGTACTCCAGATGAGGCCTCACCAATGTCGAATAGAGGGGAACGATCACGTCCCTCGATCTGCTCGCTATGCCCCTACTTATACATCCCAAAATGCCATTGGCCTTCTTGGCAACAAGGGCACACTGCTGACTCATATCCAGCTTCTCGTCCACTGTCACCCCTAGGTCCTTTTCCGCAGAACTGCTGCCTAGCCATTCGGTCCCTAGTCTGTAGCGGTGCATTGGATTCTTCCGTCCTAAGTGCAGGACCCTGCACTTATCCTTATTGAACCTCATCAGATTTCTTTTGGCCCAATCCTCCAATTTGTCTAGGTCCTTCTGTATCCTATCCCTCCCCTCCAGCGTATCTACCACTCCTCCCAGTTTAGTATCATCCGCAAATTTGCTGAGAGTGCAATCCACACCATCCTCCAGATCATTTATGAAGATATTGAACAAAACCGGCCCCAGGACTGACCCTTGGGGCACTCCACTTGATACCGGCTGCCAACTAGACATGGAGCCATTGATCACTACCCGTTGAGCCCGACAATCTAGCCAGCTTTCTACCCACCTTATAGTGCATTCATCCAGCCCATACTTCCTTAACTTGCTGACAAGAATACTGTGGGAGACCGTGTCAAAAGCTTTGCTAAAGTCAAGAAACAATACATCCACTGCTTTCCCTTCATCCACAGAACCAGTAATCTCATCATAAAAGGCGATTAGATTAGTCAGGCATGACCTTCCCTTGGTGAATCCATGCTGGCTGTTCCTGATCACTTTCCTCTCATGCAAGTGCATCAGGATTGATTCTTTGAATCTGTGAATTCTTTTGAGTCTGTGTTCAAATGCAGATGCCTGGAATTAGAGTCCGGGGTGACATGCTGGCCACACTGAAGTCAGTGGGTGATTTGCTGGGGCCAAGATTTCAAGTGGAGCCTGTGGAGCCTAAATTTGGATTTAGGAGTCTAACTTCATGCACACAGGTTTGAAGATGTATGCCTTGATTTTTAAAAGAAACAAAACACGTTCCAAACACATAAATACTTAATAAACTGCCCAGATTCAAAACCATCAGCTTAGTGTCTGTCTTCTCCCCAGGGCCACGGCTCTTGAAAATGAGCATGGCTACCCTCACCTGTAATATGAGGCACTTGGGTACCATAGTGATGGGCATGAGCTAAATAGATGGATATGTCAGCAATGTGCTGCTGTTGCAAAAAATAGCAAATGCAATTTTAGGGTACATTAACAGAGGTACGAGGAGTCCAGTGGCACCTTAAAGACTAACAAATGTATTTGGGCATAAGCTTCTTTTCTGAAGAAGTGGGTTTTTTACCCACGAAAGCTTATGCCCAAATACATTTATTAGTCTTTAAGGTGCCACCAGACTTCTCATTGTTTTTGTGGATACAGACTAACACGGCTACCCCTCTGATACTTAACAGAGGTACGACATGCAAGTCACGGGAGGTGATAGTACCACGCTGCTCAGCACTAGTTAGGCTTCAACTGGAGGACTGTGTCCAGTTTTGATCACCAATGGATAGAAAGGATGTAGAGAAACTGGAAAGGATCCAGAGGTAAGCAACAAAGATGATCAGAGGAATGGAATGCAAGCCATATGAGCAAAGGCTGGGTATGGGTAGTTTGGAAAAGAGGAGATTGAGGGGAGAGATGAGAGCGGTCTTCAAATACTTGAAAGGCTGCCATAAAAAGGAGAGAGAAAAATGATTCTCTTTTGCCAAGAGAGCAGGACAAGAGTCATTGGGTTCAAACTTCAAACAAACGGATTTAGAATCTCAGGAAAAACTTCCTACCTGTCAGAACAGTACGACAATGGCACAGACTGCCTAGGGAGGTTGTGGAAGCTCCTTCACTGGAGGTTTTCAAAAGGAGGCTGGATAGCCACCTGTCTTGGATGGTTTAGATACAACAAATCCTGCGTCTTAGAAGGGGCTTAGACTAGATGACCACTGCAGCCCCTTCTAACCCTGTGGTTCTATGATGCCCTGTGAATTGGAGGATTGCACAGCTGTGTTGTGTGGCATCCCATGTGCCCTGTCAAAGGGGCAGTGATTTAAAAATAAACTTTATTTGGAACACTATTGCCACATCTTAATGTCCTCCTGACTTCACAGCCTCGCTCAGTCTCTGCTCTGGCAGTGATCCCCCTCTGCCAGCAAAGCCTGCATGCTCTGTGCCATCAGCCCAGCCTCCTCTAACTGCGTTAGCATCACAAGAGAGACACAGTGCTTATGGCTGTGTCTAGAACCCCTCTTCAGAAGTGGGCTGGGTAATCTGTTGCCCACAAAGGTGAATTTCATGGAGCCACAATGGTTGGTTTTGAGTTCCTCACTCTGAAATAAAGGGATGGTTGATGGTTTGAAACGCTTCAGAGCAAAGGAATTGCCCCACAAGAGCTGTTTGTCTATAGGTGCCAGCAATGGCTCATGGCCACTGTGTCCCTGCCCATCACCAGTACCTGGCACTGGGAGGAGCACTTCTTCCCCACCCCAGCTAATGGGCAGTCGGTGGCTTGGAGTACTGACAGCCTTTGCATTTTTATTTTAGCCAAGTGTTGGTCTGATGCCTGTGAACACATAAACCCCGTTGTTTGAATCTCGCCACGTCATTTGCCCTTATCTCTATGGCAGAGAGTTCCAGACACACTTGATTTCCTTGTGAATTTTGACCCATCCTACCTTGTCATTTCCTCCCGACACACAGAGATCCGATGTTAGAGCAGCCACAGAAGTGACGGCGTCAGTGTGAGCAGGGATGTATTGCTGAACAGCCTGGGCAGGACTGTCGTCTTCTACATAATCATCAGGCCTGCCAAAGAGGGAAAGACACACAGCAGCAGGAACTTCAATACACATTACAGAGAAGTCATTGTATGCCATAGATCACCCATCCCACGTCTCAAACCACATGGCACTGGCTCCAATTAAACTGAATGTAAGGATAGCAGCGCCTTGGTTTAGGAAGAAACGCTGAATGCTGAGATGCTGGAGAAAGGCAAGCCAACACGCAAGCTCTGAGCAATGCAGAGATCAGCTCTCCGGGGACATAAATGTATTTCCTAGATGTGACATAATAGGTCTCTTCCACCTCTAATTCCTAAACCTGCAGAACAGTTACTCACCTCCACTATGGTGCATGGGACTGACTTTAACAGAACTTCATCAGTCTCCCTGCTACAGCTGGCAGATGATGGTCTGACTCAGCCACTGTTCCAACAGTTCAGACATTTTCTGCTCTCTCAAATGTCCCTCACAATAACATTCCTGTTCTCCTTTCTGCTGCTCTGTGCCCTTGGCTTATCTCCAGTACTTATGGGCCAGTACTCCCATCTCCCTACTCATGGAGAAAGGGAGATTTTAACCCTTTCTTTGCAGGGGGAGCCACGCATGTCACTTGCTCAGGATATTCAGGGTGTCTCTCTCACTCTCAGAGACTAGATTGCTCACCATTTCTCCCATGCTTGCCGTAGCATATCCCCACCCCTCCAGCAGGAGTGCCCCTCTCCCTCCCACACGAATAGCTTGCAGCACATAAATCCGGCTCAGGAACTGCTCCCAGCACAGGCTGTCAGCACCACCACGTGGTTCATTATGAGAGCAAGACAAAGCTGAATGTGTTGCTGTTAGGATACTCTCAAACCAGAGATCCCCTTTTTTCGGCCAGATAACGTTGATACATCTCCCAGACCATTCAGTCTGAGGAAAGCTTTCCATTTCCATGTGTGGCTGGGGGAGGGAGGTGGGGAACTGCATCGGAAACTCTCTCTGATCTCTTCCATGGTGGCACCAGCCCCTCTCTTGGATTAATACTGGATTAATACCTGGCTAATACCTATGAAAAGAAAAGAACATGTGTGTGACAGTGCAACTATTCGCATCCCAGCTGTACTGGTAGACACTATGCTGCAGGGCTAAGGACAATTGTTTGCTAGACGGCCCAGGGTGCAGGACTAGCAGAGCAATATCTCCTTTGTCAAGAGGAGCCATTTTCCACCCAAGATAGTACACCCAGGTCCTTTGCACCCCTGCCTAGGAACAGCCCAGGTGGATGCCAGTGACACTCTCTGGAGAGAGAGGATGGATTAGTTTGAGTGTGCTGCCAACACACTCCATTCACTAAAGCAACTTCTTATGTTCAGGGCTACAAGCAAATACTGAATGGGGGTGGAATTGCCATTTTAGCCACACAGTCATTGCAGTGCTGGGATCTAGGCCACTGCTTTTGAATATATGTGGAGGCAGAGACAGGTATTTTAGACCATTGAGAAATTAAGCAACCTTTAGAATCAAAAGACAAAAGGAAAAGTTACAGTTCATAAAACCCAGATGATTACATGTGATCACTAATCTCCCTGCCATAATCGGTGGGGTTTAGTAACTTTACATGAAGCTGGCATTCCCAGGAGATTGTTTACCTGTATTTGGAGGTGCTGCAGTTGATTTTACTCTGCAGTTTCCCCATGATATTGCACATGAGCCAAGGTGAGCAGCTCTGTAATCCAGCATGTAGTGCTCAGCTTCGAAACCTCAGCATCTCAGGCAATCTCTGGGAGCTGGGGGATTAGGAGAGGACACGTTATGGGGAATTTATAAATCAGTTCTGATCTTTACATCCATTGGATCCAATGCTGAGAATGCAGCACTTTCACTACAGTCCCAGTCATTAGCTTCCCTGCATTTCCCTTACTCCTCTTCCCGCCCCCATACCCATCACTCCGGATATTATATGCTTGTTGCTTCTCTCTGCGCAGTGCCAGTTGGGAGGTGTGGCCAGCGGATGCTGCTTTATGGGCAACTCAATCAGCATCTTATTAGCAAACACCCCAGGTGAGAATGGCCCGTAGCACTATCTGAAAGGAGAGTTTCAGAGTAACAGCCGCGTTAGTCTGTATTCGCAAAAAGAAAAGGAGGACTTGTGGCACCTTAGAGACTAACCAATTTATTTGAGCATGAGCTTTCGTGAGCTACAGCTCACTTCATCGGATGCATACTGTGGAAACTGCAGAAGGCATTATATACACAGAGACCATGAAAAAATACCTCCTCCCACCCCACTCTCCTGCTGGTAATAGCTTATCTAAAGTGATCATCAAGTTGGGCCATTTCCAGCACAAATCCAGGTTTTCATACACATTGTGAGGAGAGTGGTCACTTTGGATAAGCTATTACCAGCAGGAGAGTGAGTTTGTGTGTGTGGTTTTTGGAGGGGGCTGGGGGGGTGAGAAAACCTGGATTTGTGCTGGAAATGGCCCACCTTGATTATCATACACATTTTAAAGAGAGTGGTCACTTTGGATGGGCTATTACCAGCAGGAGAGTGAGTTTGGGGGGGGGGGGGGCAGAGGGTGAGAAAACCTGGATTTGTGCTGGAAATGGCCCAACTTGATGATCACTTTAGATAAGCTATTACCAGCAGGAGAGTGGGGTGGGAGGAGGTATTGTTTCATGGTCTCTGTGTATATAATGCCTTCTGCAGTTTCCACAGTATGCATCTGATGAAGTGAGCTGTAGCTCACGAAAGCTCATGCTCAAATAAATTGGTTAGTCTCTAAGGTGCCACAAGTACTACTTTTCTTTTCGAAAGGAGAGTGTGTTTCCTGGGAGTGTGTTGGCTGGGTTTTACTGTTGTTTTGTTGGTCTTTATGACTGTTGTAATAAACTGAATTCTGTGCTGGTGCCAGGCTGGCAGATTGATCCCCTGTGGCCTCAGAACAGGCGTAGCACGGGAAGTGTCCTCATTATGTACCTCAGTCCCTACCTGAACTACCTCAGCCTTACCCAGTCAATATACCCACTCAGTCCTTCACCTCCACAGTGCCAGTTTCTGGCAGGTTTTATGATGTGGACAACTACCCACTCACTTGTCTGTCTGAGGCTCTTCAGCAAAGCAGCGCAGGGAAGCCTACACTGTTGTGCCCGTGTTCTAACTGTTCTGGGGTAAAGGCTCCAGTCACTCCACTGCCTTTTACTAGCACTAAACTCACTAAAAGCATTAAATCAATACAGGAGAGGTGCAGCTGTCTACAGGCTGGTTTCAATGGTAGTGAATTACCAGGTACAGTAATCGGATTCTTCTCAGCAGGAGATGCTCTAACTGGATTGATTTCAGTCTGACCTGCTAAAGCTCCTGTCTTCCGGGTCAGTAGGAGTCTGCTGAAAATTCAATGACTGCATTTACCTGTTTGTCAGAGCAAACAAATCAAAATAACCTTCATGTCACTAATCACAGAAGCCTGAAGCTCAGATGCTAGAGTTGCTAGGTCAGAAAGTGGACTGGTTTCCTGGCAGACATTCCCCTTCTAATTTTACTCTGCTGTCCTTTGCAATTAGCAATGAATATAACCTAGTTAAGCTCTGCTTGTTCAATCCAGATGTTTATACAGCCAAACGTTTTAAAGTGTAACCAATCTCATAGGCCAGGGAGCGTATTAACTGGGTAACTGACTTTCTTTCAGTCAAAACAAGACCAAGTTCGCAAACTATTTCAGTGTCCTAGGAACAGAGGTGACTTTTTTTTTTTTTGGCAACAGGAAGAAGCTGGAAACTCAGTCTGTATTTTATTTAATAGAATTTAACTTTATTTCCTTGGCTTTTAATTAAACTGATATTGCAAATATTAAAATTAACTGCATGAAACAGTGAACTGGCAGAAAGAAAGCAAAATGACAACAGTGCCTTTTCCTGGGGGTTTGCTTGCATCTGCAAAATGCTTTGCAGATGTGAAGAGACTGTCATTTACTATATGTCTGTATAGTCCCTATTACAATGTGCGCCCCTGAGCTGGTGTAAAAAAGTAATAATGGTAACAGTGCTAAGTGTTATTAATAAAGAGAGTCCGGGAAGTCCAGCATATTTATAAGATTTGCTGTAACAACCCCTCTAGCAATCTACTAGTAGCAGACATTCATAGCCATTTTACAGACCAGTTTTCCAGACAATCAATGGTAAATTTTTCTTTGTGGCTAATTATTCCTCATTACATGCAAGCAGCACAAGTTTTCCATTCATAAACACCTTCTGATTTTAATTGCACTATAGAATCAAGGCAGATAGTTAGCACTGTGAGAAAAGAAGGATTCAAGGAATAAAAATACAAATTACATTTTGTATCTTGAGAATGCTTCCCTACAACTGCCTAACTATAGCATAAATCTGCAGCTCCCTCTGCAACTTTGAATGCTTAATAAGAATGCAAGCTTCCAGAGTCTTGTTGCATTTTGGGAAAGCCCTCTGGTACCCCAAGATGTCATCTCTTGGCAGACTTTCCAATGCAAATTTACCATCCTCCTGTACGTACGCCACTCACTATTGTGACAGTCTACTAGAATGAAGTTCTACTGTCAGGGCTCCCATTGTAATTGAATGACAACTAGGTATGCTTCAAAAAGAGTGCATTTCATCGTAGGGATTTATTTTTTTAAATGTACATTGCTCTTTAGCAACCCGTTCCTGGGAGCAGAAAGTATTTGCATTTAAACAAGTTTTAATCTCCTCAGTCTATTGTAACACAGCAGTGAAATCTGCATGCTGGCTTTGGGAAGCAACAACAATATCCCAAATAGCAAACAGTCATCATATAACACACAGACGTGAAACTAAATCATAAGATCACACCCCGACATCTGACTATCCAGCGTCACAGCCAGGGCCGGCTCTACCGTTTTTGCAGCCCCAAGCAGTGAAAAAACCTGTTGCCGCTGCATTGCCACCGCAGATGGCAGGAGAGAGAGAAGCTGCTGCCGCAGAAACTCTGCCGCTCCTTTCTGACTGCCACCCCAAGCACCTGCTTGGAACACTGGTGCCTGGAGCCAGCCCTGAGCACTGAGCAACATGGCTAATATCTGTCACCTGTGGCTTGTTCTCTCTCTCTCATCCTCTCCGCACGGAGAGCTGTACACACAGTGGAGTGTTTTGATGATTTTTTTTTTTTTTAAATATGTACACACTGATTGGACTAGGCCATGAAAGAGAAGGTGCTTGGTCAGCCAGATCTCTTTGGAGTTTATTTCCAAGCACCGTTAATGGGACTTGCATATGATTATGAAGGGGAGAATCAACACAAAGTGAGAACATATTGTATGTGATTGAAAGAAAACTACTCTGTTTAAGCTAATCAGTACTGTTTTGCTTTCCTCCGGCTATGCAGATGCAAAACACCCATTTACAAAGCCGATAACATCACTTGAAGATTTGGGGAAACCCTAAGTAAATTCTTTGGGGTTCTTAAAGGGCTCCTTTGACCCATTTTACAGCGGTGCTGGTTAGCAGAATCCTGGATTATTCTATGTTCCAGCAAATACATTGCAGTGTTAAAGCCTCTTTAACATATTGCACTATTTTAAGACAATCAACCAGACATTTTAAAGATATTATCAGCAGTACCATACATTATTTAGACATAGAAGGTTGGGATTTTCAAATACCACTGAAATCTGGACACTGAACTTTCTCAAAGCACTTGGAAAATTCCAGCAAAAATAAAAGCCTCTTTGTTTAAATTAAGTTACAGTGGGTTCGCATTTCCTCTTGAGCAGCTAGCGCAATGTCTCTACTGCAACAAAAATGGCTTTTTTACACTGTTAGCTGTCGCACAGTAAGATGATAGTGGACACAAGGCATCGTCACTTTTACTGCAAGGTTTTATTACAATGCCATCCCTCACTGAGATTGTGCAGTAGGATAGCTAACATGCATTCATTATTCCATGGTAAAAACACACTGGTTTTGGAGGTGAAGACAAAGCCTAGAAGTTTGATTCCTGCTTTTTTTCCCTCTTTTCAATGCTTGTCTTATTGTAATGATCTTCCCACTAGACCCTGGGAAAGTATGGATGGGATTGTGAACAGTGCTAACTACATATTAGCCATTTGTTATTAGTTAACTGGCCTTATTTTTGTTAAAGGGAATATTCCCTCTCTGCCCAATTACATGCGGTTTCCCTAGGAAAATGGGTCCCTCTAGTCTCCACTTCACATGCCCCATATTAATAACCCTTATATGTTAGCAACTACACTAAAAAATACAGGGCCACAATTCACTGTTTCCATGTACCTCGTGCGATTGATTCACCAAACCAGAGCCCACGGAAAACGCTAGCCTGGCAGAATAGCACCGCTTTGCACCAGTGCGAATGACTCCACAACATACAAGGCAGCAGGAAAGGCTTGTCTGCTCATGAGGGGCTGCCATAGCTCTTCGCGAAGACAGGAGAGCTTCTCCCGGCCGGTAGGAACTCCGCCTCCCCACGAGGCAGTACTGTAGCTGCGTCGACAGGAGAAGCCCCCCAACAGAGCACTGTCTACAGCAGGAGTTCGGTCTGTACAGCTGCGTCGCTCAGGGGGTATATTTCCACACGGTTATATCCACAAGGTTATATGCAGACCCAGCCTAACTCAGGACCGACAACTGTGCTGACCCAGGGATGCGTCTCTCACTATCGCTGGCCAATACCTGTCTGGGAGGACGCATCAGGATATCTTGACCAGTGCCCTAGGCTGCTCCTGACCTGTACTGAACGGATACCATCCCAGGGTACCTTCTTCCCCACAGCCCGGTCTCATGGGCCTTCAGAAAGGGCACTGGTGAGCCCTGTTGTTGCCCCGCAGGACCGGCCCACCCGGGGGCAGGAGGAGCCGGGTTCTATGCCCACCATCGCCTCGCAGGGCCAAGCCGGGGTGTGCGCGTTGGGAGCCGGGCTCCGTGCCCCCCATCGCCCCGGGGGGCTGGCCCGCCCGGAGGGGGGGGGGGAGCCGGGCTCCGTGCCCATCGCCCCGGGGGGCTGGCCCGCCCGGAGGGGGGGGGGGGAGCCGGGCTCCGTGCCCCCCATCGCGGGGGGCCCCGGGGGCTGGCCCGCCCGGGGGGGGGGGGAGCCGGGCTCCGGCCCACGGGGGGGGGGGGGAGCCGGGCTCCGTGCCCCCCATCGCCCCGGGGGGCTGGCCCGCCCGGAGGGGGGGGGGAGCCGGGCTCCGTGCCCCCCATCGCCCCGGGGGGCTGGCCCGCCCGGAGGGGGGGGGGAGCCGGGCTCCGTGCCCCCCATCGCCCCGGGGGGCTGGCCCGCCCGGAGGGGGGGGGGAGCCGGGCTCCGTGCCCCCCCATCGCCCCGGGGGCTGGCCCGCCCGGAGGGGGGGAGCCGGGCTCCGTGCCCCCCATCGCCCCGGGGGGCTGGCCCGCCCGGAGGGGGGGGAGCCGGGCTCCGTGCCCCCCATCGCCCCGGGGGGCTGGCCCGCCCGGAGGGGGGGGGGAGCCGGGCTCCGTGCCCCCCATCGCCCCGGGGGGCTGGCCCGCCCGGAGGGGGGGGGAAGCCGGGCTCCGTGCCCCTCATCGCCCCGGGGGGCTGGCCCGCCCGGAGGGGGGGGGAAGCCGGGCTCCGTGCCCCCCATCGCCCCATCGCCCCGGGGGGCTGGCCCGCCCGGAGGGGGGGGAGCCGGGCTCCGTGCCCCCCATCGCCCCGGGGGGCTGGCCCGCCCGGAGGGGGGGGGAGCCGGGCTCCGTGCCCCCCATCGCCCCGGGGGGCTGGCCCGCCCGGAGGGGGGGGGAGCCGGGCTCCGTGCCCCCCATCGCCCCGGGGGGCTGGCCCGGGCTCTCGCTGGCGCTGAGCTGCAGCCCGGGGGGTCGGAGCGCGCCGCTGGGGCTACCAGGGGCGACAAGCGGCCGCCCTCAGCTCCCAGGGCCCGGCCCGGCAGCGCGTTCCCAGCGCCACCCCGCACTCACCTGCCCGCGCCGGGGCCGCCCCGCGCCTCAGCGACCGGCGCCAGAGTCCGGGGTGGGGCCGCGCCGGGAAACAGCTCCGCCCCCGTCCCCCATAGGGCAGCACCGGCCCTGCACCCCCCTCGAGGCCCCGCCCCCAGCGCCCTCCCCAGTACAAGCCTGACCTTAAAAACCTCTAAGGAAGGAGATTCTACCACCTCCCTAGGTAACACATTCCAGTGTTTCACCACCCTCTTAGTGAAAAAGTTTTTCCTAATATCCAATCTAAACCTCCCCCACTGCAACTTGAGACCATTACTCCTTGTTCTGTCATCTGATACCATTGAGAACAGTCTAGAGCCATCCTCTCTGGAACCCCCTTTCAGGTAGTTGAAAGCAGCTATCAAATCCCCCCTCATTCTTCTCTTCTGCAGGCTAAACAATCCCAGCTCCCTCAGCCTCTCCTCATAAGTCATGTGTTCTAGACCCCTAATCATTTTTGTTGCCCTTCGCTGGACTCTCTCCAATTTATCCACATCCTTCTTGTAGTGTGGGGCCCAAAACTGGACACAGTACTCCAGATGAGGCCTCACCAATGTCGAATAGAGGGGAACGATCACGTCCCTCCATCTGCTCGCTATGCCCCTGCTTATACATCCCAAAATGCCATTGGCCTTCTTGGCAACAAGGGCACACTGCTGACTCATATCCAGCTTCTCCACAAATTTGCTGAGCGTGCAATCCACACCATCCTCCAGATCATTTATGAAGATATTGAACAAAACCGGTCCCAGGACCGACCCCTGGGGCACTCCACTTGACACCGGCTGCCAGCTAGACATGGAGCCATTGATCACTACCTGTTGAGCCCGACAATCTAGCCAACTTTCTACCCACCTTATAGTGCATTCATCCAGCCCATACTTCTTTAACTTGCTGACAAGAATACTGTGGGAGACCGTGTCAAAAGCTTTGCTAAAGTCAAGAAACAATACATCCACTGCTTTCCCTTCATCCACAGAACCAGTAATCTCATCATAGAAGGCGATTAGATTAGTCAGGCATGACCTTCCCTTGGTGAATCCATGCTGACTGTTCCTGATCACTTTCCTCTCATGTAAGTGCTTCAGGACTGATTCTTTGAGGACCTGCTCCATGATTTTTCTGGGGACTGAGGTGAGGCTGACTGGCCTGTAGTTCCCAGGATCCTCCTTCTTTCCTTTTTTAAAGATGGGCACTACATTAGCCTTTTTCCAGTCGTCCGGGACTTCCCCTGATCGCCACGAGTTTTCAAAGATAATGGCCAATGGCTCTGCAATCACAGCCGCCAATTCCTTTAGCACTCTCGGATGCAACTTGCCCCCGGCACCGCTCCCCAGTGTAGCGCCCTGCCTCCACCCCGACCCCCGTACCGCCCCCTCAGCCCACTCCGAGCGTGGTGAACGCACCATAACAACCCTTCAAAGCTTTTTATTAGAGATACAGGAAAGACGTGTGAAATGTAAAGTATTACGTGTGGCTTTTATTTGAACAGCAGCGTCCTTTGTTTCCCTTCCCTTTAGTTTTTGAAGGAGAAAACCCCTGGTTTGAGAGAGCCTGTTAAGCGGGATCAAAGGCAGGCATAGCTGTCCCTTTTGGGAAAAAAAGGCAGAGTTTGCTGAGCTGGTAGGCGCTGTTGTTGCTGTTGTTAAAGTCCAACCACAGCCGTTGACTTCCTCTACCTGGCCGGTGCTCAGGCTAAGGGCAGGAGCCACAGTCAGCCTTGGAAACTTCCTAATTGCACACAACCAACACCCCGGCCCTGCCCGTCTCGCCCCTTCTCTGAGGCCCCACCCCCACTCACTCCAGCCCCCTCCTCCATCATTTGCTCTCCCCCACCCTCATTCACTTTCACTGGGCGGGGCAGGGGGTTGGGGTATGGGAGGGGGTGAGGGCTCCATCTGGGGGTGCAGGCTCTGGGGTGGGGCCAGACATGAAGGGTTCAGGGTGCAGGTGGTGGCTCTGGACTGGGGCGAGGGGTTTGGAGTGCAGGAGCAGACTCAGGGCTGGGGCAGGGGGTTGAGGTGCGGGAGGAGTAGTGGGCTCCAGCTGGGGGTGTGGGCTCTGGGGTAGGGCTGGGGATGAGGGGTTTGGAGTGCAGGAGGCGGCTCAGGGCTGGGGCATGGGGTTGGGGTGCAGGACAGGGTTTGGGATGCGGGCTGCAGGAGGGAGTTTGTGTGCGAGAGGGGGCTCAGGGCTGGAGCAGGGGTGCGAGGGGGGGGAAGGGTGTGGGCTCTGGGAGGGAGTGCAGGAGGGAGTTCGGTCTAGGCGGCGCTTACCTCAGGTAGCTCCCAGTCAGCGGCGCAGCGCGGCTAAGACAGGCTCCCTACCTGCCCTGGCTCCGCGTTGCTCCCGGAAACAGCCAGCATGTCTGGCCCCTAGGCTCTGCATGGTGCGTGCTGCCCTCACCCACAGGCACCGCGCCCACAGATGAGACTGACCTTGCCTGGCCAACACAGAAAGTCCTCCTGCATGATCAGGGTAGGTGAGCATAGCGCTGTATGCTTAGGTGTGCAATTGGCTTGGTGATTGTTAATAAATAGAGGTTAAGGATATTACTGTGTAAGGCACTATAGCAGAGTTTTATTGGAAAATCCCGAGAAGTGGGTGGGCACAATCCCACCCACTGCTAAAGGCCCCTCCCCCAGCCTAGCAGGAGGGACCACTGGACCCAGAGACTAACTGATTACGGGGGACAACTAATGAAAAACAGGGACGGGAGTGAGTGTCAAAGGTTCAAAATAAGGATGCCAGATGAGGACACCTAGCAGAGAACCCCGGACAGCGCCCACTGCTCCTCAAAACTGTCGAGGGAGCCAGCGGACGCTGCCCAGTGGAACTCTGCCCAGATGCGTGAAACTAGGGAGGAACAGAAATAGGCCCCACAGTCGCAGAGCACCCCCTCATCCAACATCCTCCTCCTGGTATTGTAGATGGAGACTTTGGCCAGAGCCAGGAGGAGGTTGAGGAGGAGGTCTCGCGACTTCGTGGGGCCATGGATAGGGTGTGCGAAAAGGAACAAGTGTGGGGAAAAGTGCAGCCAGAACCTCAACAAGAGGTTCTGGAGGAGCTGGAATAGAGGCTGCAACCTGGCGCATTCGAGATAGGCATGCGCCAGGTTCTCCCTCATGCTGCAAAAGGCCTCAGGTGTAGGGGTGAACTGCGCCAGGTGCATGCCCGTGCTCACGACTCCATGAAGGAGCCGCCAACTAATGTCCCCAGCGGGCCGTGGGACCAAGGTGGAATAAAGGCTGGCCCACCGGGGCTCCTCACCCTCTTTAGGTGGAAGATAGTCCCGCCATTTGGTGTGGGGGCGGGACATGAGGGTGAGGAAATGTAACGTATGGAGCATGAGCGTGTATAGATGGTTTCTGGGCACGGTTCGAAACCGGACCGGCTGCAGGGTGTGCAGCTGGCTCGGAGTGTGGGAGCAGAGAGGCCGGGGGGGCTCGCGGAACAGGGGCCCGAGAAAAAAGTCTGGTGGGCCAGGGGTGAGAGGTGGGCGGGGAGCACCCTCTCACAGAGCTCGCCGAAGGAAAGCGAGAGAATCGGGTGACAAAGGCGGCCTTCACCTCCCGGAGTACGCGCCTAGGGGTTGGAAGGGTGGAAAGCCCCATGCGTCGTCCAAGCACGCGGGGCATCATCCAATCCCCCCTGTCGTAGTCCAGGAGGTCTCCGACTCTGGTGGTTTCTGCCAGGACCAACCTCCGACACACTGCAGGAGATTCCGCCACCTGCACACGGAGATCGAGGTTGTGTAGCAGGGGCTCCGCGAGGAGGTCCGCTCCCTCGGTGGCCACAAAGGACCTGATCGCCGAAAAAAGCTTCCAGGTCCGGAGGAGGTCCTGGTAGAAGACCGGCAGCTCGGAGAGGTCTCGCGGAAGGCCTCTCAGATGGAGAAGAAAGAGCTGCCGGTCATAGCGGAGCCCTCGGAGGCAGCGGAGGAAGGCGTGCGGCAACGTGCTCCACACTGGACTACCTGCACTATAAAGGAGCCTCTGCAGGGCCTGGAGGCGGAAGACATGGACCTGGCTGCGCAAGCAAACCAGGCCCTGTCCTCCCTCCTCCAAGGAAGACTCAAAGCCCCTGCAGAGACCCAGTGCAGCCCCGGCCGGAAGAACTCCAGAGCCATCCTCTGGAGCCTGGCCAGGACACTGTAGCGGAGAGGTCACCCCGCTCCGGCTCGGAAAGGGTTAAAGCTGGCTCTGGGAGAGGGCTGGGGCTGAGAGGAAAGGCTAGGCTGATTGGGAAGCAGCCACAGCTGGGGCCACGCCTCGATCAGGCCACAGCTGGCCCTATAAAAGGGCTGTGAGCCAGGCACTCAGGCAGACACTCTCTCTAGCTGTAGGGAGAGGAGGATTGGCTGCCTGGGAGCTGAGCAGGGCATCTAGAGTGGAGCAGGGCTGTGGGAAGGCCAGAGGAGGTGGGGAGCTCCAGCCTGGAAAACCTGCAGGTGGCAGACCTTGCTAAAGGCCAGGAAAGGTACTGGGGCTAGAGCGGGGTAGCCTGGGAAGAGGCAGCAGGTCCAAACTCTCCTTGCCGGTGATGAGTGCTTTACAGACTGCAGTCTGTCTCAGTGACTGGGGGGCTAGATGGTGACTGGCTGTAGCCACTGAGGCAAGGGGGTGATAGAGGGCTGGGGGTTCCCCTGAGTGTGGAGACCCAGATTGTGGATTACTGCTGGAGGCAGAACCCTGATGTAGAGGGGCACTGGGGTCTGAGAGGGGTATGGGGGCCAGCTGCAGGCAAGACACTAGCCTGCAGAGGGTGCTTTGGGCTGAAAGAGCTAATTCTCCACACAACCAGCAGGAGGTGCTGCACCAGTGAGTCTCACCTTGCCCCAGGAACTTTTGCCAGGAAGAGACCCTGTTAGGGTAACCAGATGTGGGACTGTCCTGATTTTTAGTTCTTTGTCCCGTGCCCTGACTGATGCACAGTTGGGACTCAATTTGTCCCAATATTGCGGCTGTGGCCGCTCCTCTGGGTGTGATGTTTTTGTTTTTTGCTTCCTCCATGTGTCCTGATATTTTGTTCAT